GGTTTGCCTGAATACTGAAATCTGCCATTTTATTATTTTCTTGTTTTCATTGTTTGGTAAATTAAAGAAGGGTTGCAATGCTCTACTTTACATGGTGTATGACATGATTTACTGCACTATAGACACTAGTGTTCATTTTCGTGTGTAGTGCTACTGTTAAGGAATAAGCTTCATTGATCCCAGAAACAAGAGAAGTTAACTTAAAAATATCGTACGAGAGTACACTAGAAAAAGAACCCAAAGCCCATTTATTTAATGGTATTGAGTAAATGAGGGCTACATCAGAATATCAAATATATAATGATCATAACTGTCGGAGATTTAAAATGAAACCGAGAAGAACTCATTCATCCTTGTGCATATAAATATAATGAATAGCATTTATAGTCAAAGCTGCGGGAAGAGCCTTTAAGTAAGGGTTGCTCAAGTGTGTGTGTGTGTGTCACATTATATTGTTACTCCAAAAACATATCAATCTTGCAGTTATGAGCTCTTTAAGACAGATCAGTCAGTACATACAGTACAATATAAACCTAACAATCTAACAGCAGGGTGGCTCTGACTTAGAGGCAGAGCAGGTCTATTAATTAGAAGGTTAGTAGATCAAATCTGTGTGTCAAAGTATCTTTGGGCGGGATACTGAGCACTGAGTTGCCCCCAGTGCTCCCACTGGAGGGTGAATGTCAGGTTTAAAGAGCTTAGGCAAGAAAAAAAAAAGACTTTTGTCAATGAATGAATGAGGCTTGTAGTAAGAAAGTGCTTTTTTTCAGTAAGTCGCACGTGTAAGGATTTTAAGGGTTTTCTGTAGAAATAAATGTACCAAGAACTACTGTAAGAAGTGTTGATTGTTACACTTGCAACTGAGTATTTATTTACCTTGACACACACAGATCACTAGTTTACAGCACATTACTTTAAATAGTCATATGAAAAAAATAGTTACCTTGGTGAAAGTTTACAATATAAATGCTCTGGTTTGTCGCATTAGTTTTAATATTTACTAACCATTAAAGATTAGAAATATTATCACTAAGACCAGTTTATAAGT